GAGGTGCAGAACAAAGCAAAGCAAGCTTTCTTCCACACAGCGTGGAAGGCAGCGAAGAAATCCATCACTTTGGAGGTCTAAACAAGTTATGGAAACTAAGAAATTCCTCCAGAGAAATTCATTTGGGGTTATTAAGGACAAAGACAGGAGTGCAACCTCAGGGACGAGAAGTTCTAGGTATGAGAGAAATGGATGCAGTGGATGTAGCTGTGTATGCCTGACCTGCTTTTATCTTCTTTTCCTAAACACCTGCTCCTTGTCCAGGAACACTTGAGTTTGAAAAAGACCAACCATTTTGTTTGTTCACATCCCACTGTGAAAGTTGTGATTTTCTAAGACCCGACTAGGTGTTATCGCCTGATGTAACTCAGCAGGTATCACTGCACCCAAGAGTAACTCAGGATTGGGGTTGGGGAATCAGAGGAGTAACTACCAACCTCATATGGGTGCCAAATACATTCCTCCAGCAATCCTATGAGCTGGTTACTCATCATGGGTAGAGGCTTGTGAAAAACCTGTGCAATGAGCACTACAGCCAGCTAAGCCTGACCTTCATTCTCAGAAATACTCTTCCTTAACCACATGGTGTGAAGGGAACAACTCCACCACAGCTCTGAGACCTGGACGAGAGAGGAAGAAGCTGAGAGAAGCATCACTAGGCATTTTTGGGCTCTCTGATGAGGGGACATGAGAGGCTACTCGATGACTTTGCACATCCATTCCACACAGTCGAAGCTGCATTTGGAAGACAGTGACCTGGAATGAACTTTGAATTTTGCTTTAATTCCAGGAGAAGGAGCATAAGAAGAACATATTCTTAGATGAGGGATGAGAGGAGTCATGTGTGTAGCCCACAAACCCAGCCACAGGATGACCAAGTTTCAGAAAAAGGAGCATTCACATCATTCAGTCACGTGTGTTACTATTTTTTAACAAGGCATTGAAAAGAAATTTTAAAAAAATCACCCCCCCACACTCTTCCCCCTCCCTTGTTTGCATCCTTAGGTAAAATACTGAAAATAGGTGTACTTACAGGGAGGTCTGTAAAGGCTATACCTGTAGGGGGAAAAATATTAGAATTAAAAAGACAAAGGAGTTTTTTCCTGCTTGGCTACATCCTTAAAATGCTACAAAAAGTTACTGCATTTCAATAAATCCCAGCTCTGACTCTGCATTTCACCACTTGTTGTATTTAGAAGTAACTTCACTCCCCAGTCCCCTTCTCTGCAAGGTTTTGCATCTGGGGAAAGGTCCAGGGAAAAGCCTAAAAGTTTCAGGCATCTCTCACAAAAATTTGATTTTTCCAAAACGCAGCTCCTCTTTCCTTTGCTTTCCCTCTGTTACTATGAAGGAGTTGGTTTTCAGGACTCACTTTGGCTTTAGAAATAGTTTTACTATTCCATTGCCTCAGTTTAGGCTCTAACTAGTTCTTCTTACCAGCCAGAGGGACAGGAATGAACATTCAACGCTTTGTGTTGCAGCTGGGGAACTGCTGTGCAATGGGACCAAGCTGCAGCCAGGAGCACCTGAGAAATCCTGCACAGGATTCATCCTCAACTACAGAACAGCTTCATCCTCAACTACACTGCTAGACTTCCAAATAAGAGAGATGGAAAAAAAGCCTATGGTTTCCCTTTTTATTCACATTTGGCATGCTAGAAAAGAGATATTTAAGCAGAGACAGCTGGGCAGGAGCATGGTGAGATGGATCAGCCAGCAAACAGCAGCTCTAACCCACCGGTTCTGGGTCACCCTCACCAACAGCACAGGGGAAACTGCTGCTGTGCCCTGTTCACCTTCTCAGGCTGAGCTTAATCCAGGTTTTAAACCAACGTTTCAGGAGTCAGTCTTGAAGCTGTAGTCTTGCTCCATGTGTGCTCCCAGCAATACTTTCTGTCCCCAGCCAGAGGAAGGCTGGTATCCACACCAGTATGCCCAGTTCTCCCACGCGTCCCACCTCTCCAGCACGCAGCAGTCCCTTCTGGCCGGCAGCGAAGCGGCTGCGTGGCAGCAAGAGCCCAGCATTCTCTGTTTTGAATGTTAGGACTATTTGAACCAAGAGCTGCAATGTAACTTTACAGATCAGCCTGAAACGGCAATTTCAACCCATTTTAGGAGTCGACATAGGAAACAAATAATTACTGCTCAAAACAGCACAGATCCAAAATCAAATGTGTGGAAAATAATCCTGAATCTTTTACTAAATAAACAGCCAATAAGGTTTAATTAACCACCTGGCAAACAGCCAATATAGTTTAATTAACATCATGGCAGTTTGGAGCTTGTTGGTTGAGTACCATCTCGACAACCCAACCAAAACGTGTGTTGAGTAACTGCCTGAGAAAAGCGTTCAGTAAGCATTTCTCTCACCCCAGCACTTTGCCTAAATACTCTTCTCCTCCTTCAAACCTGTTTTTCACTGCACACTGTTTTGCTGAGCTGGATGAAAGCTTGTTTCTACCCTTCCACCAGAACGAGGACAACCTCCTTGATTCTGCTCTCCACTGGAGTCTTCCTCTGCCCCCCAGCATCACTCAGAGCCCAAGGTGGCCCGGCGTTCCCATGAAAACTCGTGTAGCCATACGCTGGGAGCTGATCTTTGAGTGGACTACAAGGTCAGTGGAAAATGGGCTGGACTGTCAGGATGGAAGGGTTGTGATCAGCAGCTCAAAGTCCAAGTGTTGTCCCTCAGGGATCAATGGTAGGGCATATACGGCTTAATGTCTCTACTAATGACCTGGATGATGGGACAGCATGCACTCTCAGCAGGTTCACAGATGTCACCAAATGGAAGGTGGACAATACACTGGAGGGTATAATGCTAGCCAGAAGAACCTCAACAAGCTGGAGAAATGATCTAGCACAAACCTCACAAAGCTCAACAAGAGCAACTGAAGAGCCCTTCCACCAGGTTGTAACACTCCCAGAAAAGTGGACAGGCTGAGGCTGAATGGAGAGAAAGCAGATCTGCACAAAAGGATGTGTGGTTCCTGCTGGGCAACAAGTGGAGCAGGAGTCAGCAACAGGTCCTTGCAGTGAAGCAGGTCAACCACATCCTGGGCTGTATTAGTAAGAGCGTAGCTGGAGCTGTATGAGTAAGCTGGGCTGTATCAGTCAGAGTGCAGGTTAAAGGAAGGGATCGCTCCCTTCTCTTCAACACTTGTGAATCTAAACTCAGAGCATGATGCTCAATTTTGGGTTCTCCAATACAAGAGAGACAGTAAAAGTGGAGTGAGTCCAGCAGAGGTCAACAAGACGAAGAGAGGCAAAGGGAAATTGGGTTGTTCAGACACTTATTGCTGCCTATGACTGCCTAATGGAAGGTACAGAAAAGACAGAGCCAGACGTTTCTGAGATGTGTGGTGACAGGACACAGAAGGCAACAGAGACAAGTTGCAACACTGGAAATATTATTAGATATTAGAGGGGGGAAATTCAGCATGAATGTGGTCAGTTAGGGGACCAGAAAAGCCCACTGGAGGATCTCCATTCCTAGAGACAGTAAAAACTTGATGAGTTTCTGAGTAAGGTGACCTAGTTGATTCTGCTTTCAACAGGGCATTGGATGCGTGACCTCCAGAGACTCCTCCCAAGGAAATTATTATTCTATAAAGAAACTTATTTACATTGCCTTTAAATAAAGGCATTTTTATGTTTTGCACCCTCTGTTACATAACTAGGACCAAGGAAATGCTTTATGAGTACAGAACTAGATCTGTTGCACAAATGTCTGTTTAGAGACTTCATCCTGAACCTGCCACACACCTGCATCCAACAACGTCAACAGCAGAAAGCAAAAGCATCACAGCTCTAACTAGGCAGCTGAATTTGAAACGGCACTTTTTCTCCACAGCACCTCCAAAGCCTGGATCCAGCTTAAAGTAACAACCTTCATAAATTTAAAGACAGAAGAACTGGGCAGCTCAGGAGGTCAGAAAGCACGGGCAAGTGTGTGAAGAGCCTCTCCTGTAAGTCCACAATGTTAATCTGGTCATCAAGGCAGTGATATAAAGACATTAAGTGAAGGTTCAGTTCTGGGGGACAATGTGATCAACATCTTCACCTGCCATCTAATCAAAGGACTTTTGTCACCCGGACATGACTAACACACACTTACATGTGTCCCCAGGCATATAACGTGCTTGTGGACCTTCTAAGTCCAACATTACCCTCCAGCCAGTAACAACCATCCTGTCTGCTCACAGTTGGCCATTTTCTTCACAATACATTTCAGAACTCAATTTGCACAGAACAACATACATCTGGGTGATGAGCCACAACACTCCATTTCCTACACGGCAGGGTACTCCTCCAGCATCTGCCTAGGTAATCTTAATTCAGAGGATGCAAAAGCACTGCTGAGGGACTGCAAGAAGCAATGACACGTTCAGCAAGATGGGTAGGAAAGAGCAGACTAGGAAATGTCAGCCCATGAAGTACCTGAATACCTCTGTGACTTGCTGCTGAGGAGAAGCGCTGTTAAACCCACACAGCTCAACCTGCTCTCGGAAACCGTCATCATCCAATCAAGGCACCTGGGTAGAATTGTCCTTCCAGAGAAGCCAGGCTGCAGCCAAGTCTGATATTTTCCATTCATTTTGAATCTGGTTCATCTATAAAGTCTTGTTTTAAACCTCCCAATGCTCCTGGGCTTTGCAAACTTGTTTTGAGGACAAACCTGTTAAACCTGGGCAAAGCTGGGACGGATGCCTGCAGATCCCTATGACAAGCAGATTCCTCCATTATCTCCAATGTTCCTGTTCTCTCAGCTTGCTGACAGTGGGTATTTCACTTTACAGGTTAACTTGGTCCTTCCAAGTGCCTGCACTAGAATTCAGACTAGAGGAAGTTTTCTATGCCAAGACTTCAGAGGGTTGCATGCTCTTTTTATAGCCCTGCTGCTCCATTTACCTTGGTCTGCTGACAAAGTCTGAGATCTGAAACACTCCTACATTAGTCCCCGAGTGAAGTCATCCACTTAATCTCAGAGACCTGTGGCAATCACATTCCCTCATCATGTCCTGTGTCCAAGACTCTCTGCTTAATGGCTGGAGCCCCAACATTTCTCACACCTCTCCTTCTTTCTCTCCTAATTTCTCTCACCACACTTCTAGTCACATCTCATCATGTTTCTTACTTCCAGGACTCTGCTCAGAACTTGTCAAAAGCATTTCATCAGCAGCCAGAAGACATTCAAGACTTTTTCCAGAACACAGAATTAAAACTACACACAATGTCAAACAGTTTTCATGTGACCTCTCCAAAGTTCAAGACTTAACTCCATCCAGAACATCCAGAATTTATGATGGCCAAGGAAACAGTTCTTGTACAGTGCTCCTGATGGATCTGCTTAAATGGAAAGGTATGGAGACAACGGGAAATCATAGTTAAGCAACAGGAGAAATTGCAAGGAGAACAAATGGGAGGCTTCCAATTAACAGATGAAAAGGAGAGGATGAAATGGTGGAGAAATGGTGCAGAGAAAGGGAAAGCTTCAGGGAAAGACAAAGTACAGCAAATCCATTAAAAGTGAGACATACAAATGCCCAGAAGCAGGGTCCTGAAACCTGGCTGTCAAGCTAACAGGCATCACAAAGGAGCTGATTAGTCTCATGAATATTTTTTATATCTGCAGCAGGATTACATAATGACCTCATTTCCTAAGCGGGGAGACAGACAGCTTCAGTGGCTTTGTGTCAGGGGACACCTAGAAAAAGTCCATTCATCCCCTTCTTGGTAAATCTCGGGTTTACACAACACAGAAATGAGGTTCTCAGGTTAGCATAAGTACCACGAAATGTTCAAGATCTTCATGGAGATGCTTCCACTGGGGCAGAAAGTGTTCTGACTTTCAAATAAATCAAACACCACAGCCCTGGGAACAGAATGGTGGACGGAGCAAGGGACAACTTTTCCACCAACACCTCTTCTACTCTGCAGACTCCTGGTCACTAGAAAGAAAATCCATTTCAAATGAACAAATTTGTATTCATTAAATAGAAGACCCGGCCTCTTCCTGACTGTCACACTTCTGTTGTGATGAAAAGTAACTGCACTGCCAGGCTGAAAAACGGTGAAGCTGGAAAACCACCCACTCCAACAAAGGGAACAGCCAGAGGGGCACAGCACAAACCACTACACTACTGTGTAAATACACCCTAAAAATAATAGAATCATAGAATCACAGACTGGGTTGGGTTGGAAGGGACCTTAAAGCTCATCCAGTTCCAACCCCCCTGCCAGCAGCAGAGACACCTTCCACTAGACCAGGTTGCTCAAAGCCTCATCCAGCCTGGCCTTCAACACTTCCAGGGAGGAGCAGCCACAACTTCCTTGGGCAATTCTGTCCATCAAGGACACTGACTAAAATGCAAGATTTTGTGAAATCTTTTTAGCTATTTCAGCACCTTAGTTGCTGTGTACAGTGAACTTGTCTCTCCTAAGCGATAGCTCCTGTTCTGCACCATCAGCTGTTGCTCTCATACCTCTTTGTCTTTCCAGTACAGGATTCTCAAGGGCAACAGCCACAGATTCTGAGTTACATTTAGAATAATCCAGCTACTAGAAATCTGGGCAATTAACTGATACTTACGGACTACAAAGGACTCCTAGTGTCTCCACCAGTGACTGATCTCCACTCTACCTTGCGGCTAGGTAGTAAGCCACAAGCCTTCACCAGGAGTCCCTCAGCATCACATATGGTCTGGCTGATAAAATAGTTATAATTTCAAACAAGAAGCCAGATCAGACGCTCAACTCTGAGCAGCTCCCACTGGGCTTCTGATCGAGGCTCCATTTATAAAATCAGAATGTTAAAAACAGGTCTCAAAGGATGCTCAAATAATATTTTGTTCCATTCAGGGCTGAAGACCCATTGGTGTGTTGGCAAAGCATCAGGACTAGTTGCTGAAGTTGCACAGTCACAGATTCAATCTCGAATGCTTCTCAGAAGGCACGTGTCTCATTTCTAGGCAACCATCCCCTCACAAATCAACCATCAGTGGGTATGAAATTAGTTCTGTCTGCAGGAGCCCAGGTCTGTCTGCATCTGCCTCAGAGGAAGGACCCTTCTTGAGATCTGAGGGGGAAAAGCCCACATCTCAGATCCATATCTCCACTATACCTGTAGCACAGTGTGCTGCTTTCACCGAGTCACAGACTGGCTGAGGTTGGAGGCACCTTGGGAGGTCACCTGGTCCAACCCCTCTGCTCAAGCAGGGCCACCCAGAGCTGACTGCTCAGGACCATGTCTAGGTGACTTCTGAATACCACCATGAATGGAGACTCTACAACCTCTCTGGGCAGCCTGTGCCAGTGTGTGGTCACCCTCACAGTGACAAAGTCTTTCCTGATGTTCAGAGGGAACCTTCTGGGTTTCAGTTTGTGCCAATCCTCTGGGTTTCAGTTTGGGCCCATTGCTTCTGGTCCTCGTGGACCAGAGGAGAGAGGTCCTTCAGGAGGACCTGAGAGGACCTGGTCCTCTCAGGAGGAGTCCAGGAGAGGACTCTGGAGAGAGGAGTCCTCCAGAGTCCAGCTGAGGACTGAGAGGAGTCCAGCTCTGTTCTCTTTGCAGCCTCCCTTCAGAGATATATAGAGTGATGAGATCCCCCCTGACCCTCCTCTTCTCAAGAGAACAGTACCAGCTCCCAGCCCTCCCTCCTAGGAGAGATGCTCCAGACCTCTAAGCATCTTAATGGTCCTTCGCTGGACCTTCTCCAGTACATCCATCTCTCTCCTGTACCAGAGAGCCCAGTACTTTTCCCAAGAGCTCAGCAGAAATGATGCACTCTCCAGGCACACACTGCACTCCAGTCCCACTCCTTCCTTCAGCCCAGACGGAAACGCAGAACAACCTTTGTTCTGCTGGATGGTCTGAGTGGGGTACTTTCCTACCAACTTCTTCATCTTGAATTCAGCAAAGTAGAATTGACACAGTAAGGAGAAGCAAAGGAAAGAAGTGCCTGTTCCTTCCAAACCAAATGAGTTCCAGCACAAAAAGTGAGATGAACTTATCAAAATTTACTGCATTGGTTTATGTGACAAAAAAAAATTACAACAATTTATCCGTGGTGGAGAATATCTCATCCACGGGAAAGACATTTTAGGTCATTTTAGGACAACTTTCTATTTGAGACAAAGCAGATACGATGGATGCCTGGAAAACATCTGTGAGAGATTCCTTTGGGCAAAATTTTGAAGTCCTTAACTTTAGGGGAAATAATGAAACAACCGTGGAATGAACCAAATTATAGGTCAGTGCTTAAATAAAGGAAATAAATTAATTAATAAATAAATTCTTACACTGAATTGATGTCTAGCTTTCAGAATACTTGGACCAGTGTGTTAAGATGGAGAAGTCACTTGTAAAGTGAAAAGACAGTGATACAGTGTCTTTGCAGTTAGTTGATTAATACACTAATTGAACTCCCCACGTCTTTATTTCCCTGTTGCCCAGTCATTAGCCACCTTCTCCAACCTGCCCCAGGCTGTGCAGCAGCAGCAGAGGAAAGGAGCAGAAGCTGGGGATGCAATCCTGACCTAATGAAACAAATTGAGCAGCAGAGAAACCACTTTCCATGCTGGAAGTATTTATGTCTTGGAGCCAATTTCCAACCCCTGCCTGCTGCTAAGTGCTTTTTCTCTCCCATTTCTTAAATCTTCCCCATAAATGTGGAACAAGAGTTACAACACATGCAAAGTATGAAAGAGCAGCGAGAGGAGCGTCCCTCTCCTCAGAACACCTTTACTGACCTAAACTGTGGCCATTTTTTGTGTAAAAGCAGGTATTGTTGATGAGGTTGACACAGCAGCCGATCACATCTCCAGTGGTGAAGGTGGGGCCGTAGGGCTGTCCTGTCCCCGAAGAACAGAAGGAGTGCCCATCGTCACCGTGGTACCCGTAGGAATGTTTATCCCATCCTGCAAAAGACAAGACAGAAGAACAGGTCAGCAGTGAAGCCAGTTTAGTAGAACAACGTGGCAACAACAGCTCTCAGAACACCATCTTCCGGTAGGAAATTTGGAATTTTCATTCCAACTCCTGATTTATCCCAGGATTAATTTTTACATAGCAGTAACTGAAAAGAAGCTAATGCTCACCAATCATAACACATCATTTGGGTTTCAACCTCAATTGTCCCTTATGAGAAATTTTAAATAAAAAGAACAGACTGCCAAAGTCATTTTGACAAAGACAAAAGATTTCTTGTTTTAAAAAAACCATTAAAACCCAGTTTCTGTTTTATCTTGCCTGTGGTAAAACAAGCTCCTCCTTGTAAAACATTTGTGTTTCCCACTAACACAATCTGCCAGCAAAACCTTTTAATGAAATAATTCTCAGCCAGCTGCAGCTTTGTCCGTAAGCGCTGCTCACAGGCGGAACCCAAGGGCTCGAGGCAGTTTTTGCTCTCTCACATTTGTATTTCCCTTCCAACAGTCTGTAAGGATTTCTGTGTTCCCCTTGGGCAACAACATTTCCCTTTCTGTGAACAGCTTCAAACACAGCCCTCAAATGTCAATGGGCAATTTTCCAAGTGGTCAGTTCTAACATGAACATCTTTTATTTCTTCTGCCAGTAACACTGTGCCTGGGGTTAAAGCTGGGCTCAGGCTCTGCTCCTGCTCTTTTCTCCATCTCACAGTAATTCCATCGTTCCCAGTTCCTGATCTTGCCTGGTTCTACTCCAACCCTCTTGTAAACTCTTCTGAGAATCTCTTACATAAGGACAGGCTGAGAGAGTTGGGGCTGTTCATCCTGGAGAAGAGAAGGCTCCGGGGAGATCTTATAGTGGCCTCCCAGTACCTGAAGGGGCTCCAGGAAGGTTGGGGAAGGACTTTTCATAAGGGCAGTTAATGACAAAACAAGGGGAAATGGGTTTAAGCTGGAATAGGGGAGGTTTAGATTAGATATTAGGAAGAAGTTCTCCACTGTGAGGGTGGTGAGACACTGTCCCAGGTTGGCCAGAGAAGCTGTGGCTGCTCCTCCCTGGAAGTGTTGAAGGCCAGGTTGGATGAGGCTTTGAGCAATGTGGTCTAGTGGAAGGTGTCCCTGCTGCTGGCAGGGGGGTTGGGACTGGATGAGCTTTAAGGTCCCTTCCAACCCAAACCAGTCTGGGATTCTATGATTCTATGTAGAAATGCCAGCTAGAACTGGTAACTAAAAGAAAATAGTTTAATCCATCCTTTAAAAGCTGAAGGGTTCATCAGGCAACACACTGGGCTTGTCTTTTCAAGACTCTCATCTCCCTCTTGCAGAGGAGAGGACGGTGCTCCCACAGCTGTGGCCACAGAGTGATTCAGCAAAGCGAATGCCACCTGAATCTACTAATCCATAGTGGCCAACTTCAGTTGCCACCGCTGCTCAAGATGGCTTATCCTTGCCTTTCTTAGGAGACCAGCTGAGGCAGGCAGGGGGTCATGAGGAACAGCCCTCTTACCAGAGCAGTTGAAGAAAGCATGGCACGCTGTCTTATAATAAGACTTCAAGAAGAATCCGCATCTTCTCCAGCTCTTTGGGGCGTTTCTATGAATGACACAATCAAAACCACAGCTGACAGAGAGATGTGCTGCTGTCAAAAAGCCAGAGACAGCCACAACATAATGACAACCACCCGTGTTTTAAACAGGTATGGTTGGATCCTTCAGCAGACTGTGCCAATGGGAAGTGGAAGTGAAAGAAGGTGCTTTGACCACCTAGTGACCTCATACAGTCTAAGGGTAGGGCAGAATCTGTTAAATGTGGAGCAATGGTTTTGGCAAATGGACCCCAGAAGAAATGTAACGACCATGGGAGGAGAGGGGTTAAAAAGTAGAAAGCGCCGATTTTGCAATAAGCCAAAAAAAGACTGAGCACACTGCAAACTAGAGAGAAGAACGTGTGCCCACGGCCTTCCGCTGATTGCACCACACCACACGGACACAACGGGAAGGTCAGGAAATGGGGCAAGACTGAAACATGCCGTGGTCCAAGATGCTGGTCCTCAGGGCAAAGTTTGGGAGTGAAAGGTGTGAATCCTAGCAAATCCGAGTCTAGAAATAGCAAATCATTTCCTCTGTAAAATCCCACACCCCACAGGAACAGACTGCGATGTCCCAGGAGTCAGCTCCATCCTCCCTTGGACCAGCTCCAAACGAGCTGTTGACAGCAGCACCAGTCCTGGTTAATATCTCCATGAAAGAGGGACAAGAGCACAGACAGCAGCCTCAGCCAGCTCAAAGCCAACGCCACATCGGGATGCCAAGAACAAAGGGGGGGTGATAGAGGCTCTAGAGTCTGTTGTCAAACTTCCACTTCCAAGACTCCATCCAGTAAAAATATAATTGAAATACTGAGTTTTTAAAACTTCAGCTCCTTTTTTTCTCCGTTAAACGTGTGTCAGTTCAGAACGTCTCTAATGAAGTTGCTTTGCAACTTTAGATAACTCCAATTAATTTATCTCCTAAGCTACTTAATAACACAATCCAAATACAAACTTCTAACTCTTCTGCATAAAAACCATCCTGGCAGTACAAAAGAAAGGAGGGTGGAGAGAGGTGGGGGTGGGTCTGTTCCACCAAGGCCCAAGGGACAGGACAAGAGGAAATGGGCTGAAGTTGTGGCCAGGGCAGTTGAGATGGGATGTGAGGAAGAATTTCTTTGCTGAAAGGGTTCTGAGGCATTGGAAGGGGTTGCCCAGGGCAGTGGTGGAGTCCCCATCCCTGGAGGGATTGAAGAGTGGTGTAGACACAGTGCTGAGGGACATGGGTTAGTCGGGGACTGGTCAGTGTTGGGTTCATGGTTGGACTCGATGAGCTTAAAGGGCTTTTCCAATTCAGGCCATTCTGGGATTCTGTGATCTGGACCTGACACAACAGTTAAGTGTTTTAAATCTAAACTGCTAGCCTTATCTAATCACCGTGGTCATCCTAAAAAGCCAAGCCAAATTTGTTTCAGAGAACTTACTGTGCTCACCATAACCATAAGCTGAGTGGTGTTAATTACATGTCTAACCTTCAGTTATTTATTAATCAAATAATGTATCAGTATTTCTAAAATTCTGACCAGAATCAAGAGGAGGGCAATGGCATCCAGGTCATTCCAGCACTGGCCAACTTCAGCCAGTCTTCTGAAATTTTCTAATAATCTGAATTAAAAATAACAATCAGCACTTTCAATATTGAAGTCATCAAAGTCAACGTTATCTGGGCTATTGATTTCAACAGTGTATTTGTATCAAACGTGTTTGGCATGATCTTGGATTACCACAGAGTAGGGAATATCCCACCACATGATTCTGCAAGTACAGCCTCCAACTGCTCTTCACATACAAAAACATTTGCTGAAAACTTGGGACTTTTCTGCATCATTAACAATTTCCTGTCGCCATCTAGTCATGGGTCCGTGACACTACAACCTCTCCTTTGACTCCTGCGACACTATTTGCACCTCTGGTTACTCAAAAGCTTCTTCCTTTACAAAATCTACTCTTGTTTTAATAAGGGTTGAATTGGACCTTCTATGTGCCTTCTCCACACTTACATCTGGAAAGCTGTGGCTGGAAAGGTGCCCAGTGGAAAAGGACC